TTATTTAGCGCTAGTTCAGCCTTGGCAGGTTAGTTCTCCTTACAGGATGGCAACAAGCCACGAGGTAGGTTAACCTCTTATCGAGCTTTATTTGGTAAACAAAAGTAGCTAGAACATAGACATATGTAATTTTCTACTAAATTCAAATAAAGCAAGGCTGAGCCAGCAACTTAAAAAAAAAAAAAAAATTTAAATAATACAAATAATTTTATTTAAATATTTCTTTAATTTAATATTTATTTTCAGATATCTAAAATATCTAAACAAAAAAAATAAACTGGATGTGCTTTTTATAGAGAACAGTCACCTTTATATTTATAATTTTCATAATTTTTCTTATTATCACAAACTTTCTTTGCATCAACTATATTAAAAGTAACAATAGTTTGTTCAATAACATCTAGTGCTAAATCTTCAATTCCTATTATAATAGTTGAATTGTTTAAAAGAAGACCATTTATTGTATTACCTGAAATATTGATATCTGAAATTGCACAAATATCAATATCAGAAGTTAAATTGTCACTTGAAACTAAAACCAGGAAGGATATTGAAAAAGATTAAAATTAAATTATTGCTGAATTATTAAAATTTATCTTTATTAATCAACTGATTTATTTAAAAAATGAAGAATTAAACATGTAAGTCAAAAATTAAAAAGAAAAATACTGAATTTGTAAAACAATTAGACTTAATAAAATATATTAACAACAAGTTTTTCAAAAAATCAAAACAGGAAAAAAATAAAATAGAAAATTTAAAAAAAAAATTTGATTGGCTCAAATCTGTGAAACCTAAACTTGATTTTATAATTGCTATAAAATTTAGAGCTATCAATATTTCAGAATTAGAAAGTTTGTCAAGTTTAGAAAAATACTGAAAAATTCAACTTAGAAGAAGTAGTAAAAAGACAAAACTAGTAAAACTGATTATAAAGATGAGCTAAAATCAGAAAAAAGGAGAGCAGAAATAAAGGCCTTAATGAAAACTATTTCTGATGAATATAAACTAAGGATAATAAAGTTTTTTTGAGTAATGTGAATAAAAAAATATTACAAAACTTGATACTTGAATTAATAAAATCTATGGCCCTATATTTTAATCTCTCATGAAAACAAATAAATAAATAGTTAGGTACTTTACATTACTATTAGAGAAAAAGAAATCAAAAGATAAAAACTAGAAAACTAGAAGTGAACAATCATTAATTACATGCAAATAGTCAATTAAATAAGTAAGATTAATAATATTCTATATTTATACTATCTTAAAGTATTAATTTTTAATGAATAATTAAGAAAAGTACATGAAGAATTAAAAGTGCACAATCACTTAATGAACAAAAATCAAAAAAAGTTATCAAATTCAAAATAAATTAATTGATATAATTAAAGAAATAAATATGTATTTAACTGAAGAAAGTAAGACTGACTCAGAAAACTCTACTAAAAGAAAAATAAATGTATATAATTATAGTTGACATTTTGAAGATATATTTTTTAATAAAATATTTTATGCTGAATAATTATGATATTAATTATAATTACTTATAGTTAAAGAATTTGTTGAAATATTTGAATAAACATTTGAAATTAATTCAAGCATTCCAACTAACTTAACTTGTAAATAATATTATAATGATTCATATTTCTATAATGTGACATCACCAGAAAACTTACTGAATTAAGCATATAATTTGTAAAAGATTTTGAAATATGAATAAGAAAAAGAGATAGGAAAAAATAAAAAATTAACAGTTAAATCCAAAATATGAAAAATTATCAAATATGAGAAATTATTAATGTATTTAGAAAGTGAGGAACAAATTGAAGAAAGTGTACAAATAGGTGAAATTCAAGGAGCAGTTAGGTTAAAAGAAAAAGTAAAAAATCTAGAAAAACATTTAGCAAGGTAACAAATTGGGATTAGTTTTAAAAAAGTCAAGTTGAAATCTTTAAAAAGAAAAAAAAAGCAAGTGAAAGAGGAGGATAAAAAAAATGCCAAATAATTTGGTCAATTGATTTTATAATTTTTTAATAAATTTTGTAAAATTTGAATTTTTTATTGTAATAATTTTTCTACAAATTTTTTATTACTGTATCAATTTTTTGTTTAATTTTTTTCCACAATAATTTTTTTGTTGAATTTTTTGCTGCAGTATCAATTTTTTTTGTTAAATTTTTTGTTACAGTATCAATTTTTTATCAAATTTTTTATTATAGTATGCAAAAAAATTTTTTGTCCCAATATGTAAAAAAATTTTTTTGCTATAATATTATTAGATTTTGTATTGTCACATGTCAATATTTTTTTACTGATATTTTTAATGCCAAGTTTTAGCAATCATAAAAGATTCATTAATATTTTTATTATTAAACTTTTCTAAATTTAGCAATAATTTGACAGTTGAATGATATAATTTTGACTAATGTCTTGTTTTTTATTATTATAAATATCTTTCTTGAAAATTTGTAATTTTTGAAAAAAAATAATTTCTGAAACTTTTTTTTTAATTATTATTAATATTATCAAAATATATAAGTATAATTAATTTTTTTTTTTTAACAAGAGCTTACAGAGGTCCAGTTTTATTGAGATTATTAGTAGCGAATTAGTGAAGTACATATAAAATTACAGATCAAAGTAAAGACTATATTACTTAGATAATATAACTTGTACTATCTTTCCTTCATATAATGGTTAATGGTTACAATAAACTCATTTATCCTAATCAAGAACCCATATAGCTTATTACTGAAAGAAACTCTACTACTCCTCTTCCTGCATTCAAGTCCTTGCTATGTTGACTTGTTCTCTAGTTGGCTTGAACCTGAGACTCTTTTTATATCTCGCTCTATCAAATATTCTTTTTATACTATCATTATAGTATGTTTATAAAATATTTATGTGAAGTTTTAAATATTATTTTGTTCCATTTGAGTACTCTTTTTACATGACCTATTACAATCTGCCTATAGGTGACTGCATGAAGTCTTAAACAGATTGTCAAATTTTGATAGAAACCCTCTTTTTATGCTAACATGCTTAAGCACTATTAATCCCTGAATTTTTATAATAAGCAAATTTTCAGCCTATTTGCGGAGCTCATTGAAACCTGTTTTGTGACGAGGTGACTTCAGCACTAAAACCAATTGAAGCATTTTGTAATCTTTTAGTTATTCATGTTTGGATAGAATATTGGTTATAGATAATAATGATCAATATCATGAAATGAATGGGATCTTCTTATACTACTTAGGCTTAGGTAATACTGTCTTGCAGTGATATTGAACTTAAAAATAGTATTTGATAACCTGGGAGCACTATTATTGTGCTATAGACCCACAGGTCCAAGTATAATTAATAGAAGCTTATTTAAATTTATAAATAAATATATTTTGTATCAACCAATTATATTTAATAAGAATTGTACTATCCAAAATTTAGAATCAAATTTAAATAGATAAAATTTCTCAAAAAACCATTAAAGTAAAAGTTTCAAGAGAATTAAAATAGTTATAAAGAAAAAAAAACAAGTATTTTTATTGCAATAAAATCTCTATAATCTTTATTTCAAATATTAAAAAGATTTTTAAGTATTTTGCAATCAGTGCTTTTTTCTTTAAGAACTTTTTTGTTATTGATATAAAAGATATTGTTTGATTTTTTTTAATTATAAAAAGTTATATTTTTAAGTGTAGTAGTTTGTAAACAAAAGAAAAAGAATAAAAATGACTTTTAAAGTTATACTTTAAGTTGTTTTAATGAAAATAATAAGACTTTATTAACAAAAAAAATAAAAATATTTCTTGCAAATATCTTTTTTGTATATGATCAAAGAATCAGTAGAAAGAGTTATCTTAAAAATAATTTTTTTCTTATTATAATTAGATAATAAGATTTTTTATAATAATGTGCTAATATAGAAAGTATAATAAATATAATATAGCATTAATAAAAAACTATGTTTCTTAAATAATTATAAATATTATTTAAAATTTAAGTAAATTAAATTTTTTAATTAATTAATTCAAGAAAAAATATTCAAGCAGATAGTTTTTAAAGAAAAGATTAATAAATATATTTAAATTAAATTGTTTTTATTTTATTTTTTTTCTTTTCTTAATGCTTTTATCTTATCGATTTAATTTCAAGATAATAGTAAAATATTATTAGCAATAATTCTCTGATAAAAGGTCAAAGTACAATTTGAAGTATTTAATTTAGACTTTATTTGTTTAGTTCAAAGTAGCTTGTTTTTTGGGGGTGTACGAAAATAAGTCAGTTATCTTGGGAATAGGTCATAGTAACATTGGTTTGATTTCATCTATTATCCAATAAAGACGAGCCATAGAGTAACATGATTGCGGATTAATATACAGTATATATACAGTATATACAGTATATTTTAATCGAAATATATAATTGAATAATTTTAATTCTTTGGTTAATTGTTTGTCACGGTGATCATAATTTATGTTTATGTTTCAATGTAACCAATTATGGAGATCGCGAAAAACGATCGGGTTGGCCCGTAATATGCATGCGCAATCGAGTTAACCTGGCTTATTTATATTTCGTGTTTATAACTATATTCTTGTGTTTTCTCGAGACACCAATTGTATTTTTTTTTTTTTCGGTAGTCTCTTCTCGAAATCTCATTTCTTTCTTTACTGATGTTGTGGTACTTTGGAAAAGTGACAAAATGGTTTTTATAAAATTGTATTCGTCTCAATAAATACCAGGAGAGTTGCATGAGGTCGCAAAAATTGAGTTACATAGACTCGCATGGACTCGCATGAAATTCAGAATACTGTTAAAAAACGAACTTATTAAACTCGGAATTAAATGAAGTCGAGAATCAACCCGTCAGGAACTTTAATTACACCTAAAGTTATATTATCTTGATTGAATCAAAAAAATTCCACGAGAAAAAACATTCTTTTTACTGTACTTGATATTTCGTGCTAGTTGTCGATTGATTAAAAAAAAAAAAATCTATGTCTAATTTGTCCGTTAATACAATAATTGCGCATGGTCAAGAAGAAATCATTACATCTGATAGATCAGAGATAGATGAAAATGATGATGACGACGCTACATTGGTAGACGAAAGTTCAAATGAAGAGGAAGAAGAATATTTAACCTCCCCATCGATTCCTAATGAAAATATCGATTTCGAACTAGTTTATGCTTTACATAAATTTCAAGCCACAGTAGAAGGTCAAATTAGCGTCGAAAGAGATGATAAGCTGAAGTTGTTAGATGATTCCAATAGTTATTGGTGGTTGGTCAAAGTTTTAAGATGTGACGCGGTCGGTTACATACCTGCCGAGAGTATCGAGACTCCTTACGAAAGGTTGGCTAGACTAAATAGACATCGTAACATTAATGTAAGAAACTTCCATTTTCATGCTATCATAATTTTGAAAAATTTCCTTCGACTTATCCAATTTGCAAATGATTTAAAAAGTTTGCATCGTCAGGTAACAATAAAGAAGAGGATTATCTAAGAAGAGAACATAAAGGCCAAGTGAAAATTGTTTCCTTCACTTCACCTTTACATGTGGTGGCCGAGGAACACAGTGACTACTTAGAAGACATTGACGACGAAAGCTATGAAGAATATGAGGGAGATGATGAGCTACTTGAAGATGACACTGAACCAACAACGGATCCTGCACTACAAAATGAGAAGGTTGAGGATACGGGCATAAACGGATTACAAGAAAATTCTGATACGAACAAAAATGCGCCAAAATCTGAAGTACTTGACGATGAGAATCAGCAACAGAATAATGAAGAGGATTTGCTACGTCATGATCAGGCGAGTCAGCATCAACTTGGTCAACCTGCTCACAAACAAAATTCTGAACCTGCTATCGGAAGGATGAAGCAAAATGTTTACACAAATGAACAGAATCATTCTGCGTCCAGTGTTCCTTCAGACATCACAAAAATTATAAACCAGCCCGGTGAAACTATTAAAACTTCGCTGACACCGGCCTTGGGAAGTGACTTTATGGACTTCTCAGATGATGAAGAACGTCAATCTAACGCTAAAACAAACAAGCCCTTTGGTAATGATCCTACAAAGACCAAAATTTCATTTGATGAACTTATCAAAAATGATGAAAAAGATGAAAAGAAAGGGGGGAAATCAAAGAAAGAAGAAAAGAAGAAAGAGGGGGGAAGGTTTATGAATTTCTTTAAAAGAAAGTCAAAGAAAAAGGAGGAAGAGCCACCAAAACAATTCTCAAAAACCACCGGCAATAGTAACTATAATAATAGGGTCAAACCAGCGAACATACAATATCAACAAATGGATTCTCAATCATCTCCAAGACAAGGATCCTTGACCGATCAACAAAGAATCCAAGTTCAAGTTGACCTCCACTCACAACGAGATCAAGGTCAACAGTCTCAAATGCAGCAACAAGGTCAGCAAAAAATGCAAGCTTTAACTCGCCCTCCGTTACAACAGAAGTCACAATTGCGACCGCAGAGTCCTCAACAGCAAGAAAAATATCAAGAACACCAACAATTCTCTAATATCAACTCTCAGAGTCAACAGACCCCTGCTACTCAGTCGAATACAATTTATAATGTTTTTCGAATTTTTGCTGGTAAAAATATAATGGCAAGTGAGGAATTCAAGGTCGTCTTGTTAAGTCCTACCATATCTGTGAAAGACCTTATCAAAAAAACGCTGATTAGATTCAAATTGGATTCCGAAGAGAATTGGGCTGATTATTATATTACCGTTAAAGAAATTAATGGAGGTATGAAAATTGAATATTTGTTCATAATTTGTTTCATTTAAAAGCTATTTACATGATTTGAACAGACCAGGTACGATTGTCTCCACATGATCATCCCCTTGAGATCTATGACTCTTTGATCACCTCCTCGGTTCCACTACCAACGGTGAGGAGGGAATCTATATCCTCAATTTCTTCAACATTCTCAAATCTATCCGGTCACGATGTTATAAAGGCACTGGACTTACAAAATGAAAGTCAAAATTCAGCCTGCTTCTTTTTAAACAAGAAATCAAAGAGAGGTAGTAGATCATCGGAAGAACGTAAGATACGTGTTCGCGTACTGGTTTACGCAGATGATTTGCCGGTTCGACTAAGAAGCAAGAGTCTTCAAATTCCACGAACCTCCATGTCCGTACCTAAACATCTTGCCGAGAAAGCATCGCGGAGGCGTTCGCGCGAGGAAGGAAAACCAAAAGAAAAAAGCGTAATTGTAAATACAAATGCTACTGTCATTAATGTCATAGAAAAAGCTATGAACAAGTTTGGCATTACAGAGGGTATAGCTGATGATGGCAGGGTCTCGGATGCAGGTAGCGAGAAACTAATATATCATCTTACAATGATTGTTGACGGAGAAGGTAAATTCGTTAATTTTATTCTCGTAATATTTTGAACATTAAAAAGTAACAATCTTTGCTCGTCATCTAGAAAAGGCTCTTAGTCCGGAAACTTTTGTTACTTCAGTTTTTCCATCTCAAAACATTCACCATCTGTCAGTAGATTCATTAGAGTCTTCATTATCATTGGAGTGTCACTCTGATGAGCCGATTTTTGTACTGAGACTTTTGAGGTCGGAAGATTTGCAATCGAGGGCTTCAGAAGTTGAACTAAAAAGAATCACGCAAGGTGCATTTCAATCCATGTTACATAAAAGAATGAGCAACCAGAATCCCATGCAGTCAAATACAAATTTTTCATCACGTAAAGAGCTCATTGAACAACAGCGTGAATATAGTCGAGCAAGACAGAATTCGATCATTACTACACACAAAAATAATTCGCAAGGTGTTGATATTGTTACTAGTATGGGTGCAATCAGAAGTTCTCGTGTATTTGGATCAAAAGTTCGATATAGCTTTATTTCGAAAACAGGGGAAGAGATTGACATTAGTGATTTAATTGAAGACATTTGGAGTGATGACGAAATAAAAATTGAAGATATCGATTCAATGTCAATCAACCGATCTTCAATAGATTCTCTGAGAAATTCCAATGGTTACAGGGCGTTCTCTCCCACAACAAATAACAAAAGAAAGAGTACGACACAAGATGTCGACGTTCTGGGGAAAATTATAGATGAGACACAAAATGATGGAATAACTTTGGAAGAAAGGATTGATCGTGTATTCCGAAAAGTTAGAGCTGGACAATATGGAACCAATGCAACTTCTAACTTTGCTAGTTCTCCGAGGAATCAGAAAACAACTTCGTCACAAGGTCAAGTGCAGGAACCTTATAAAACACATGGTTCCATCGCTTCTCCTCCACTCTCTCCAAAATCACAGAATCGTGCCGGAAGTATATCGAATTCACGGTCTGAATCAAAATCCATTGAAGCTATACCGGAAGATTCAGAATTGTCTCTATTAAATATAAAAAATTCGTTAGAAGAAATACAATCCCAATCCAGTCTACATTCTTTACCTGTAATCCCCCAAACACGAAAGCGTTCGTCTTCTGCCACATCGAATAGTTCTATCAAATCAAACAACTCTGTACAATCTCTTAATGCAATGAGTATGTCAAACTCATCGGCACATAGAAAATCATCGGTGTCGACTACGGATAATAGCTGGATATTGTCGGATAGTCTGGGGTTACAGGAATTGCTAATATTAGTAAGATCAGAAGTAAACATGATTGATATCAAAGAAAGGCGAAAAAGTGAATGGCAGTTCGATAACGATTCCGAGATGGTTCTGACGATGTTTAGAACTATGGAGATTAAAGATGAAATTAAGGAAGTTTATGAAAGTGTCAATAATGAATTGGAAGAGTTGGAACAGGTGAGATTATCTTTTTTTTTTCTTTGATTAAATAATTCATTTCTCTTTTACTGACAGCATTTTTTCAGGAACTGGATAAAATAATGGAAGACGTCATTAAGATTTTTTAAGAATACCAGGAAAATAACAAAGTTTTCCTTATACAATCTTTCAAGATCGACTTTAGTCAATAATAAATATAATTACATGAGTAAATAATAATTATTGGAAAGTATGTACATACGTGCTGTGCACTTGTACAATAGTTAAGCATTAGCATTAATTATTCACATATTTTAAAATATTTTTAATATAAGATGGAGTCTTGATGGACTTTCAGGATAGGCTTATTTGATCTTTTTACTCATCAAAGAATGGTATGGGATCAACCTACGATTGATAGCTTCACATAACAATTGCCAACATCAACCTATTATACTTTAATCTTTAAAAAGATGTGAATGTATGAAATTTGAATATTAAATAACGAAATGCTAGATTCAGGACTAAATGCTTTTGTTTTTTAATAAATCGTGGGATACTGTGCGTACTGTAGCTCTTAAAGAATTCGCACAATATCATTAGAATTTCCTGCTTAGAACAGGGTAATGCTTTTGAATGTAACTTTATTTTCCTAAGCGTTACTGCATAACCTAACAAAGTATTCTGTGAAAATTTCATTATTTATTTTATTGGTTTATTTATTGGAACATGAACATTGTTTACTTTATTAACATTATATATGATATATGATACTTAAGTATAAAAGACTTCAAAATGTTTGTATTAAAGAACAGTAAACAAGCTTAGTTAATCGAAAACTAAAAGAGTTATCTTTATTCAGTTCAAAAAAGCACTTTGTATTTATATATGTTTTTGATATACTGTATATATAATTATATTAAAATTATATAATAAATTATATAGCATACTGATTTGAATTTTTATAAAAAAAAAATAATAATAAATAAATAAATAAAAATAAATTGGTTTCATATTTAGCTATAGTTCTGTAAATGACTATTATTTATTATGAATAGAATTAGTCTTCTTAATGATATGATTTAGATTCATTATTATATTATACTCTATACTTGAAAATTATTTAAAATTATATTATATATAATATGTTCAGATCTAGTTCTCAAATATATTTATTATGTATACTTACAATAAAGTTAATTGATAAAAAAATTTTTTTTAAATACTAGTTTGTTTTTATACTATAACAAGTTATTTTATTATAATAAAAATAATATTTAGAAATAATTAAGATAAATAATAACTTATATTATCTTAAGATTTATAGATTATCAATTAGTATAAAGAGCAAACTATTTATATTTTACTTAATCAAAATAAGATAATTATATAATCATTTTATAGAAATGCTTTTTTTCTATAATAAAATTCAATTTTTTTAAAAGTTGGATCTTTTATATCATGATATTTTCTATAATCTTAATTTAATAAAAAATTTATTACTATTTCAGTAAAGAAAAATTAACATGTATAAAATTTATTTAAGATATTTAGTATATAATAATTTATATTTACTTTTTACTTAAAAACTAGAATTGAATATATATAATATAATTCTGAAACAAAAGAAACTCAAGAATGATCAAATGGAAACAAATACAAGGGATCCATAAAGAAAATAAAATAAGAAGGTTAGCCAATCCGTTAAATCAAAACAACAAGACCACAACTATGAAAAGGTCAGTACTGAAAGAAGAAAAACTTGAAGATGAAGATCTGAAACAAACCTTTCTAGAAGAAGTAAAGTATGAAATAAGATGGTTAGGATTTTAACTTCTATCAGAACTCATAAGGAGGATCTACATTAGTGAGCTGCAGGCAATGAAATTAGTAGTTAAAAGGGTTTTCACCTAAGCTACTAATAGAGCAATAAATCACTTCCAAAGTTACACTTAGAGTGGTAATAATCAAGACAAGTGAGCTAATTAGAGACTTAGCTTAGTGATTCATTTTACATATATAGTATACTAATATTTAATAAAGCACATATAATTAGCCTGACAGAGTGTAAAATATATATATATATATATATACAGTATATAATATAATTTTAAACAATTGTATTTTTACTTTAAAAATTATAAAAACTCTTTCCGCTGATTCCCAGTTTTCCTAAAAATTTTCTTTTTTGGTAATTTTCTTGGAAAACAAAAGAAGCCAACTACAACACAAAAAGAAACTTTTAATAAAAACTAACAAAACAACAAGAAACAACTACACAGGACCAGTCCTTAGTACATCTAATCTTCCAGCAACAAGAAGTAGAAAAATACAAGTATATTTCAGCCATACTTTGTAGATTTTCTT